GTGAACTGGTCCTACAACATGTTTATTAGGAATGGTACACTTTAAACAAAAATAAAAAGGCAGGTTTTTGGCAGGTTCAAATAACATCGTTGGACAGAAGATTGATTACTTCGACCATGTATATAGTCTGCAGCCCTCTAAACTATTTCAATGTTGTTTTGATAATTATCTGCCTGTAAACTTTCTAAAGAACATCCTAAGCATTCTTAATTTGATTCTTTTTTGTCTATTCACTTATCTTTGGAATTTCACAAAATATAACATACTTCACTTCTGTGTGACTGACAAAACAGGGCATTTTATCAAGCTTCTTCGTTATTTACATACAGCTCTGTGATGTTTCAAACAAGTAATTCATGCTTCCTTGTACTTTATATAATTCTTTCAGAGCTATACCCCACATATTGGACAAAAGATCAAAAGATTGCAACATAAATACAAAAGGAACATTAAAATAAGGGAAAAGAAGCCCCAAGAGATGAAAGGAGTCAACGAGTAAGAGAATACAGCTAGGTTAAAGAAAGTTCCAAGCCATCCCTGATGACAAAATACTTTTTTGTCGTGATAGCAAAAGGAAAAGAAAGAAAAAATTCTTATTATTTCTAAAGCAAATGTCATTATCTAATATAGAGACTCTACAGCAAATGTCAACTAGGCACTTCAAAAAAGCAAAGAAATATAATGAGAAATTTTTATAAAACACTATATAATTCAGTGACTCTTCCTCTTATGGAGAAAACTGTGTAATACTAGCATGCATACTTTCCCTATACATGGTAAAAAAAATTTTTTAAACATTACCAACACAGAAAACATAAATCATTATATTAGGGAGGTCAAACAGCTAGAAAAAGACAAGAGCAGAAAATCAAACACCGTATATTCTCTCATAGGCGGGTGTTGAACAATGAGAACACATGGACACAGGGAGGGGAACACTACACACTGGGGTCCGTTAGGGGGAAATGGGGGAGGGACGGGGGGGTGGGGAGGTGGGAAGAGATAGCATGGGGAGAAATGACAAATACAGGTGAGGGGACGGAAGACAGCAAACCACACTGCCATGTGTGTACCTATGCAACAATCTTGCATGTTCTTCACATGTACCCCAAAACCTAAAATGCAATAAAAAAAAAAAGAAAAAGAAAAAGACAAGACAGCTGAAATCAACCTTCGGAGTTTGTCAAACCATTGCCCTAAGACACAAGTTGCTAACTCTCAGATCTAAGAAAAAGCAACAATTTCATCACCACAGTTGGTGAGAGATTACTATTTTGGCTTTTAGAAGGTGAAGAAAGGTGGAGGAAGAAAGTGATTTGGCCATTCTAGAGTTTTCTTTCAGCTCCACTCCCAAAGTACTCAGTGTTCAATGTGTTAATGTCCACCAGTATACTTCAGTCATTTATTTTAGTGGCTTTATTCACTGCCAATAATATCACTAGCAAGGAAAGAATACTATAAAATTAAATTTTATATTTAAATCAGTAATTTTTCTTTTGATACCAACAGAATTTATAATCTTGTCAAAGTTTCTCCAACAGCAAGATCAGGATTCTCCTTTCTGTTAGTATCTAACCTCTAAGTCAAGCCAGCTTTTAATGAAATCAAAGTTCAAAGGAAAGGTGCTAAGCACTATTCTCTTCAAAAAGAAACACAGGCCGGGCACAGTGGTCCATGCCTGCAATCCCAGCACTTTGGGAGGCCAGTCGGGAGACTTGTTTGAGCCCAGGAGTTGGAGACCAGCCTGTACAAAATAGTGAGACTCCATTTCAAAAAAAAAGAAAAAAAGAAAAAAAAAAAAAGAAAGAAACATACGCTTTTGTGTTTCTTATTTTACATTATTAAAAATATATTTTATAAAGACCAAGATTCAAGAGTTGACACCATTTGAGTAATATGAATACTACTTGTCACCCAAAAGCTAAAATTGTCTTTTATTATGTTATAGTTTTCATCATATTAAAATGGCATAGTTACAGTAACTTATACAAATTCACTATAGAATTAGCATCCTGTAATTCCAGATTAATATTAAATTTTAGAAGTACAAGGGTATATAACAATGAAACATTCTAAATGTTATCTATTGCTTAAGACAAATTTTAACTGTATTTAAACATTAGGTAAAACATGCAACTCAGAGTAAATTGGTGTACAGTAAGTAAAAACCAATGGTGTATAGATAAAGAGGGTATCATGTAAGCTAGTTAAAAAATTATAATGAAGAGAGAACTAGTAAGAATATGGCAACCTGGCTGAAATTGATATTCATTAGGGTACGCCTCACATCAATAGGTAACATTTGGACTCTGTGGTCTTTATCAGTGTCCCAGCTGGTAATGGTGGAAGGTTAATGCCTTACCCAATTCTGTTCAATTTTCTATCCTAATTAGCCCTCCAAATCTATAGCTGTGAGCACCAAGTGTCTGTGCTCAAAAGAAACTAATTAATGCTAGCAAATTAGATCAAGTCCAAAGATCCAACAGCCAAACTCTTAGTTAAATGCTCCTTGTTAATAGGAAGTGTAGCTGTCAATAACTGCTGTTGGTGACTATAATGAGGCATCTTTCTTTCATTGAAAGTGATTTCATTTCTCTTTGTCCCTGGAAAAGCTGTTCTATTCCCTTCACAAACCTACGTTGCTGGCAGTCTGACCCAATTCTTATGATCAGCTAGGTTGAAATGACATTAAAAAAAAAAATCAAATGGAAAAGCTTTCCCACATAATCATGTTTTAGGCATTTAGCAGAAAATCAGATTACTTATTAAAATTCCTGTATCTTTATCTAAGAACGATACAATTGCTTTTATATAAAATCCTGTAATTATTCAATAAAGCAAAGGCATACAAAGTAAATAAATTACAATGGAAGTGTCCTGATTCTAAATTATGTCTTACTGTTTAGTTTAAATGAAGTTTTCTTCTGCTGCTTGAATAATTCTAATGCACATCATTTCCTAATCTATATGGTCAAATAGGGAAAATACTAAAGACGCCTTATTCCCTTATCAATTTTAGATTCTAAAATACTGTTTTGAATCACATGGCCTAAAGAACCAATATACATTTATGTATAAGAGATTAAAATTATGTTATAACATACATTCTAATATGGGTGAATACATTTAAATAATCCAGTGAGTCACAGATTTTAAGATGCTTTCAGTCTTCAGAAGACTTAAGTATATTAAAAAAGCAAAAACTTAACTATGTCAACATCCTAAACAACTTTTGATGAAGTGAAAAACACTTTATTTTCTGTACCATTACAAAACACTAGTTTGTAACACAAATAAATATTTTTAAGTTATATTGTACTCTTATTTCAAAAACCAAAGTTTCATTGTCTAAGAGACAATGAAAGACAATTCTGAAACCCAAAGCCATACAATCATTCTGCATTTTCATTTGAATTGTATCAGTAAAAATTAAATCTGTAATTGAGTTACCTAGCTTTCTTTCATTCTAGGTATAAAGATAATATGCTACAAGACAGCATAAATACAACTTATCTGTGTAACTTTAGTTCGTTGTACAGTAATAAGCAAATTTTCCTAGTAGTAAAAAGCCCTACAACTTTATTATAGGGTTTTAAAGTTTTATTTCCCCTCACCTGAATCAGGATATTTATTTTTAAAGTTCTATGAGGAATGTGCAGGATGTACCTCTTGTGACCATGAACGTGACCCCTGTCAATGTCATACATGCACTACCAGCAGTTGTCAATAGGTTGACTTCTCAGGACAACTGGGGGTAGGTGTTAAAGTTACTCTGATTAAACTAATTCACAGGAAAGCAAGAGTAAAACCATAGAATGATCATTTGTAAGAGTTTTAAAATGGAATAGGTCATAATAAGTTACTGAAGCAACAGAAATGACCATCACACATTGTTGAGTCCAAAGAACTACTCTTATTTTATTGCCTCCATTCATCAATTGTAAAGGTGCTAAGGGCAGAGGACAGGGAAAGAAACAAAAAGTGTTCCTAGTATCCAAATGTTATTGACCCAGTTCTGAAATTAGAGTTGACACAGCCAGCCCTGCTCCCCTGTAGAGATGCTTGCAGTGGAAGTGCAGCCCAGCATCCTCACTAAAAATTACTGTGGTCCCTCAATAAAGATGACCACAGGGAAAGTGAAGAAGTAAAGCCAGGAAAATAGCCTATGTCAGTAAAAGTTTATTACTTCTTTTGAGGGCCATTCCAAGAGGCAGAATTTTTTAAAGACATTTCTACAGTAATATTGCCATCTGCTTATCTAATAACTCATCATTTACAAATGTATTATGGCCTCATTTTTCACCTTTCACTGCTTTGTTTACATGTTTCACCAGAATGTCACATATTAATCACTAACATCTCTAGATTTATAGAATATAGGAGTATTTCCCGTTAAAAACATTTTCCAAAGAAAACATACATGTGTAGCTGTCTAGTGTATGGATTTACATAAATATATTCCACTTAGAAACATAAAACAAAACAAAAACTCCAGATTCATTGTAAGTCCTATTGGTATTCTATTAACAATTCAGTAACAGACAATGATGCCAAAGAAAATCACCTTAGAATACACACACACACACACACACACACACACACACACACACACATGCACAGACACATACGCACACACAAATATATGAATAAGGTGACTGCTGAAAAACAGGTATATGTTAGATTTGATGTTTCTTCCCTATAAAAATCAGAATAACTTGCTTCTGCAAATTATTCATACCGAGTTTTTCGATGTATATAACTGTACTTCTGAGGGTTAAAAAAATGTTTTTTATTAGTAATTTGGGGAAATATTTTTAAGTTGCAAATGAATTGAAGATCACTGGAAGTTCTGAAAGCTGAAATACTGGTATTTCAGTGAAAGGGTGAGAAGCAATTCATACATATTAATTCATTGACTACTTGATTCTGAGGCTAAGGATTAAATTCAGATTGTATTATTAAAAATAAATTTGATTTTTACATGAATATTTGAATCTTACCTTGAATTTGTTCGGAACACCTTTCTCTGGCCTTTTCTCTCATTTTTTTAGGGATCAAAACATCTTTTTCGACATGTCTGAGATGCTGATCTGAAAAAAAAAAGGTCTTTCTTTAATAAAGTCTCAAGCAAATCACCAGATTAAAAGAAAAATAAGACTCTGGTTTACCTAAAATAAAAACCTAAGCAAATATACTCAAAACTTACAACCTTATGAAATTGTGATTATTTTAGTTCTTGAAAATCATCCTATTTTCAATGATTTTTTAAATAAACAACAACAAAAATGTGAGGAAGACGAGTAACATATTTCTTAAAATTTCTGCAAACTACACTGCAACATTTTTACTTTATAACATATTCCATGCAGTCATGTCTAAGTTAGCATCTAAATCATAATTCCCTTATTAATATAATCCACAAAAAGAGGATTTTCATTGATACTGAGATCCAAGAATAGATGAAGAGATAAAAGATTAAGAGACGCACAAGTTGTTTTGCTACCTAGTAACAGAATAGCCTAAAAAAGAACTGGCAGAAGAAAAAGTGGAACGACAAGTCTATATACAAAACAAAGCATGTGTGATTTCTATGCATTTTAAACACAACTTCCACAATTAGACTAAAATGGCAAATTGAACACCTGCTTTAGAGTTCCACCTGCTCCTTAGATGCTAAGAGAGTCCTGAAAAATAAACATGGGATAAGTGTCTTCAGTGAACCAAAAATGATGAGGAATCTCTGAAAGAAAAAAGGCAGATCAGGTCAGGTTATATGAGGTAATCATATTTCTATAGAGTATCCAGGGAAAAACACATGCCAAAAGTGGCCGCTACTCCATCCTCTGAAGCAGCAAATATGGAAAGCAAGAAAACTTCCTGAGAGGAAACTAAACAGTTATTAATTAAAGTGACTCAGTAGGAACCAAATGGTCAACTCTTCTGCTGCCTTTGGGCCATGGGTGAAAAAGGATATATAGGTATTTATCCCCAAAAGACCAGAAAGTTTCCCATTAAAAGAGTTCAGTAAAGTAGATTTTAGATTATTGTTAAGTACAATAAATATACTGAGGCAAATACAAAGACATGTGTCCTCAGACAGCAATGGACCATGGATTACCTAAATACAGTTTCATGAAATGTCTGAAACCCCCAAATCCTAAAAGCTTTAAAAGGGAATAAACACTGCCTACATAAAGGAATCGGAGTCAGATTTACATCATAGCTCACTGGCAAGCCACGATGCAACAAGACAATGGAGAAATAACTTCAAAGTTCTGAGAAAGAATTACTTTATAAAGAATTCCAGAGTCTCTAAACTACCAATTGTGAGTGAAGGACATTTTCAGATATACAGAAACGAAAATGTTTACCACCTTCAAACCCTACAAAAAAAGAAGTAATCGCCTTACTACAGTTGATCCTTGAACAACATGGGTTTGAACTGTGGAGGTCCACTTAATACTCAGATTTTGTCTAACCAAATGCAGACTGAAAATACAGTATTCTAGGGATGCAAACCTATATGGCATAGAGAGGATGGACCTTTAACACACATGGGTTCTGAGGGGCCCATGGGCAGGACTTGAGAATGCACAGGTTTTGGTAAATATGGGGCTCCTGAAACCAATCCCCTGGGTATACTGAGAAGTGACTACGATGTGCAACAACCACTAATCAAATTTAGTGATGTGGAACAATAAACATTTTATTGTGATTAGGGTTACTATGGGTCTGAGGGGCCTGATCTGGGAAGACGCAAAGTTCTGGTGGTTCTGGTCTTGATTTCTACAGCTACAAACACAGGGGCTTTTGTAGCTGTAGATTTCCTTACTTCCAAAATTCTTTCTTTCTTTATATATATATATCTGATATTGGCCTGGAATGGCCTATATATCTGATATTGGCCTGGAATGGCCAAAAGAAGTGCTCAGTTATGACTGTAAACCAGAACATCTCCCAATGGCCTCTCAACCTGGAGCCACTCAACACCATTTGTTCATCTTGCACTATACTGATTTTAAGTCATTAACGATAGCCCACACTCAGGTGGAAGGAAATCAGACTCATTATTGGTGACAAAACCACATTACAGAAAACCATGAAGGATGGGAGATAATTTTGTAACCTTCTTTGTAAAATAAAACCTATCACAAGAGGTAACAATATGCTCTGATTAAAAAAAAAAAAAAACTGAACCCATGATATGCAAATGTAAAATATATACCTCATATTAGAAAAACATAACTTAAATTTGGTTAAACTGTGAAGTCCTTGAACAACATTATCAACTAACTTAACCTTACTAACATTTATAGAATACCTAATAACAGAAGAACATCTATGAAAATAAACCATACAAACTATGTTTCCTGATATCAATGTAATTAAATTAGTAACCAATAACAGAAAGATCTCTGGATAATTTCCAAATATTTGTAAGCTAAATAACACACTTTTAAATAACTCATGGATCTAAGAAAATATCAAAAAGGAAATTAGAAAGTATTTTGATATGAATGAAAATAAAAATGCAATATATCAAAATTTATGTGATGCAGCTAAAACAGTACTTGGCAGGAAATTTGTAGCACTAAAAACCTATCTAGAAAAGGAAAAAAGGTTTTATATCAACTTATTTTCTACCTTCACAAACCAGAAAAAGGGTAAAATAAACACAAAGCAAGCAAAAGGGGAAATGATAAATATCAAAATATAAATCAATGAAATAAAGAATAGCAAATGAAAGAAAAAAAGCAATGAAATTAAATCTGGTTCTTTGAGAGGATCAGATCAATAAAATGTAAAAACCACTTGCCAAACTAATCAGAAAAAAAAGGCTACAAATTTCAAAAATCAGAAACAATAAATATTTTTAAATGATAAAGGAATATTATTAACAAATTTAGGCCAGTGAACTTGACAACTAAAATGAAATGAATGAATTCCTTTAAAAAAAAAAACACAAAACAACCAAAGCCCACTCAAGAAGACCTTTATACCAAAAGCAAGAATGCTATTTACAAATCATATACACATAAACACAAAACCCACAGACCACTATGCCTCATGAACACAGATGCAAAAGTCCTCGAAGAAGTTTTAGTAATCAAACCCAGCAGTACATAAAAAGAAAGATACATCAAAACAAAGTTGGATTTATTTCAGGGAGGGAGTGTGGTTTACCATTTGAAATTCAACCAATGTAATCCATCAGATATATTAACAGTCCAAAAAAGGAAAACCACATAATCATATCAATTGATGCCAAAAAACACTGGACAAAATTCTACATGAATTCATAAAAAACACAATCAGTGCATATGGAACAGAAGGGAACTTTTAAAGAAGGGCATCTACAAAAAGCTATAGCTTACATCATACTTAATAGTAAAACTCTGAACGCTTTCCCTATAAAAAGAGAAACATGGTATATAGAATTACACAGAACTACATACACACACATATGAGTACATGCAGAAACTCGTGAAAACTGAAAAGGTCTATACTCTAGTTAACAGTATTGCACCAACTTCAGTTTCCTGGTTTTGATATTATACTACAGTTAAATAAGATGTCACCACTGAGAAAAACTACGAGAAGGACACTCAAGACTATACAGTATTTTTCGCAATTTTATGGGAGTCTATAATTATTTCAAAATAAAAAGTTAAAATAAAACTTCTAGAAAACAATCGCAGGAGAAAATCATCACGATCCAGATGTCATATAACTCCAGAACAAAAAAAAAAAAGTGCATGTAAAAACTGGTGAAATTCCACTAAGATTAATACCTGAATCAATGATATTATACCAATACCCATTCTCGCTTTCCTTGTTCACAACTGATTATAGAAGTCTGTCCCAACCTTTTTTCATTTTTGTCCTAAAAGGAGCCTTTTCTAACATTTTTAATCCTAATGTCCCTATGAAATTTTAATACTGCAGATACATATGCTTATGTACTATGGGTATAACAGTGCTTTATATATTAAAAGAGTAAGATTTTTGTCTCCACCAATGTCAATTTTTATCCTTTTGAAGACAGTATCAAAACCATTGAGAATACACATATCATGATTATGTAAGACAGCATCATTAGGGGAAGCTGAGAAGATGGTAGGTACATGAAAACTGTACAATTTTGCAGTTTTCTATTATTATTATATTATTACAAAATAAAGTTATAATAAAAAAAGTGAAAAAAATGTGTAAGGAAGAACAAAGGACATAGACTAGCCAAAACAACACTAAACAGGAGAACAAATTTAGATGCTTTGCAGCAACTACCTGATTACAAGCCATACTACAAAGCTACAGAAGTCAAGACGATGTAATGTTGGCATAATTCAGGCAACCAAAAAAAGTAATGTAACACAAGAGAACAAAAGGATCCAGAAATACTTCCATATATATATATATATATATATATATATATATATATATATATATACACACACACACACACACACACACACACACAATTTACTGACAAATGCACCAAGGCTAGTTAATGAATAAGTATTTTGACAAATGGTGGTAGAACTGTATTAACAACAACAAAAAAACCTAAACCCTTTGACCCCCTACTTCACAGTAACCACAAAAATTAAATGGCCATGGATCATAAACCTAATGTAAAAACTAAAATATTAAACAAAAAAGACCCTTCAATTCCTTGAAGTAGACCACTTTTTAAAGAGAACACAAAGCACTAAAAAGAAATTTTACAAATTATAAATTTGACTTCACCAAATGTAAAATCATTTGTCTATCAAAAGATACAATTAAGAAAATTAAAAGGCATGCCATAGACCAGGAGAAAAAAATTCACTTCATATATATATACATATATATATATATATATATATACACATATATATATATGTGTGTGTGTGTGTGTGTGTGTGTGATATATTCTAATATATACATAGACATATATATTCGACAAAGGACTTGAGTCCAGAATATATCAAGAAACCCTATCAATAATAAAAACACAACTCAATAAAAGATGGGCAAAAGGCTTCAATAGACACATCACAAAAGATGATCCTCAAATTGAAAATACACATATAAAAAGGTGCTCAAAATCATTAATCATTAAGAAACTGCAAATGAAGTCCTTCACATCATTTCAAACAAACGAGGAATGACTACAATTAAAAACAATGACAATGCCAAATGCTAGAAAGAATGTGGAGCATCTAGAACTTTCATGTCTTGCTAGTGGGACTGTGAAATGATACATTTCTCTGGAAAACTGCTGAGTTATAAAGTTAAAAATGTTCCACTCCTATGTATTCACTTATGCATGATAAATGAAAATATGTCCAGAAAACAACCTGCACAAGTCTATTTACAAAGCGTTATTCAGAACAGCCAAAAATTACTTAACACTTAAAAAATAATGATACTGTTGGTATACCACTACTAACAGTAGGATAGGTGATCTATCCTAGGTGAATCTCAAAAACATTTGAGAAAAAGAAAGCAGACATAGGAGTACATACTGCATGATTCAAGAATATGTAAAGTTAATCTATGGTGATAAAAATTACAAAAGTGGTTATATACAGAAGCTGAGAAGTATTCTCTGAAAAATGTCATTAGGATATATATATTTATTAAAACTCATTTAAGAGCTGTAAATTTCACTGTATATTTTGCCTCAATTTAAAACAGATTAGCTTTGAAAATTATAGAAATCTGCTCCCATACTGGGAGATTTCAACACATAACCATTAGAAATTAGGTTACTAAGTAGACAAAAAGATTCATAATTTTCTCCTCAAAGATACTGTTCATCTTTCATTAGACTTCAATTGGTAAATCTATCTTTCCATAAATAACCTGTTGTAATTGTTTATTGCTAGTGTATAGGTTCAATTGATTTTTTATGTTGTCCTTATAGTCAATACAACCTCTCTCAATTTTAATAATTTGACAATAGATTATCTTCCAATTTCTATGCAGATGAACACAGAAAACAGTTTTGTATCTTCTTTTTAAATTCTTACTGGCTAAGTCCTTTAGAAAAGTGGTGAGTAGTAACTAGCAAAACCTCTGTCTTGGTTGCTCAAATTTTATTTAGAATCTTTTCAGTTGTCACCATGTTAATATTTGCCTATGACTTTCCTCTCTTCGCATCGTTTTGGTGTTAAAGTTACATTATTTAAACAATAAATTAGGGACTCTCCTTTCCCTTTATATTAACCAGAACACTATGTACAAAACAAAGATTATTCTCAGTTCCTTCAAAGTTTGTTAAAAACCACCTGTGACGGTCAGTTTTATAGTTCAGTTCAGCTAGGTTATAGACCCCACTTATTCATGCAAACATTAATTCAGGTCATGCTGTGCAGGTATTTTGCAGATTAATATAAAGGAGATTATCAAAGATAATTTGGGTGACCCTAATTCAATCAGTTCAAAGGACTTAAGAGCAGAACTGAGGTTTTCCTGAAGAATTACATTTGCTGACTGCAGCTTCAACTTCAGATCAAGAATTCCAAGCTTGCCCTTCCTGATATGCCCTATGCATTTCAGACTTGTCCAACCAGTCCCTACAATCACATAAACCAATTTCTTGTAATAGAACTCCTAACATGTACATGTATATGTATACATACACACACACATATATGCATGGATGTATATATACATATACACATTAAGACACACACACACACACACACACACACACACACACACACACACACACACACGTTTTTCTTCCTACTGATTATTTCCATGGTGGAATCCTGACCAATACACCACCTATCAGGGCTTGTGTTTTGGAGTATGTATGTTTGTATGTGTAAGACACATAGGCACAAAGAGAATTTTAACTATTTGTAAAATTCTTACAATTCTTTTTACTTATTCTAGAGGCAGCTGAAATTTTAGCAAGTTTGTATTTCTCAAGGGCACTGTTTCACCTAATTTTCAAAAAAACTGATATGAAGGTGTTCACATGATTTTCTCTTTACCACACCTGTAGTTGTATTCCAATTTTCACTGCCTATGTAAAGATAGACAAACTTTTTCTGTGAAGAACTAGAGTATAAATATTTTAAGCTTTGCAGGCTACATAACAACTCTGTCATATACACATGTATGTATATGTATATATGACATATATACACATATACACATGTTAAGTGTATATATATAATTTTTTAAACAATTCTTTAAAAATGTTACCAACCATTCCTAGCTTATAGGTCTTTCCATATTTGGCCCATAGACCATATCTGCTGAACTCTTTGCACTTTCTCTTTTTCCTTAGCTTTGCAGAAGCTATGAGAAACATTCCGGGCACAATGGCTCACATCTGTAATCCCAACACTTTGGGAGGCTGAGGCAGGTGGATCATTTGAGGCCAGGAGTTCAAGACCAGCCTGGCCAACATGGTGAAACCCTGTCTCTCTGAAAAAAAAATGGAAAAAAAAATTACCCGGTAATGGTGGTGCCCGTCTGTAGTCCCAGCTTCTCAGGGGGCTGATGCAGGAGAATTGCTTGAACCAGGGAAGTGGAGGTTGCAGTGAGCTGACATTGTGTCACTACACTCCAGCCTAGGAGACAGAGCAAGACTCCATCTCAACAAAAAAAAAAACAAATGAGGACACAAAACAAAGCACTGAGACTGGAAGCATGGATGGAGAGAAAAGAACAAATTCAGAGGGAGGCCCTACAAGGACTGACAGTGCCTAAGGGGGCTGAGGGAAGGGGATGATTCAAGGAGGATTCCCAGTTTGCTGGCTTCAAGTAAAAGGATATGACCATTAACTGAGATAGAAAATATAAAGGAAGGATCAGGTAAGAGAGAAATTCAGTTGTGGACATGCTGAATTTGAAGGGACTGTGACATCTTGTAGAGTGGAAAGCTGATGCGTATTTACAGAGAAAAGAATAAAACTGAGACTATATCCACAAATCCCTTTTTGCCTTGCCTATAAATCATAATTAGACATCAATAACTGTTCAGTGTGATTACTAAACAGATTAGAAGACGTTGAATTATCTATTTATAAAATCAATTTCAAAGTGTTACTTTTTTTCACGTATATAATTTTAATCTATACAACTTACTCATAATGCGTCCTGATGAATCTTCTCTTTGCTCTATAAATCTTTCAATGGTCTTAAATAACTAAGTCAATATTATTTTAAATCAATTCCTGAATACAGACATAGATTTTTCCAAAAATAAATTATAAAAGAAATTTACCTACATTTTGAATTCGAAGTTGTAATATTCCTATCAAACACATTTTTAAAATGGCTTGTTGAGACTGGTGATCATTCTTCTAAAACTTCCTAGGGAAAATAAATAATTCCAGAATAGTATTAATATTGATTAAAGTTTTCTAAATTCTTGGTATTAAATCAGAAATGACAGTATTAAAAATATAAAAATTCTACTAAAGGTTTTCTCACTTGATACCATAGCAGCCACTAAGTATCAATGATTTATTAATTATAATTTTTGAAAAAGCTATCTTCAACATTACAAATATAGATATGATATTTTTATTCACAAATCACAAAGTGATTCTCTTAATCTGGTGTATATAGGTTATACATTTGTACAGAGGTTGCAAAACTAAAAATTAAATTTTGAAAGTATACTACTATATAGTCACATAAATTTATGCTGAATTAAAGAATCAGGATAATATCACCAGGGAAAATTTCCAAAGCTCTAACTTCTCAACATTCTATCATCACCTGAAAGTCAATTTTCACCTTTTTCACTGGCTGAATTTGTTAGCTCATATTTTGCTTTGGGGCTCATGTGTTCTTGCAATATGGCCGTACTAGATTATAAGGCTACTGACAACAGCACTTGCTGTGAATCCACAAAGAAACAGTGAAGCAAATCAGAATATTACAGAATCTTTAATAGGAAATAATGTGATATATAAAGGGCAAGCTACGCCTTTTTAATAATGAAAACATTCTAAATTAACTAATTTGAAACTTATTTCAGTAATGCCACTTTTTAAAAAAATGTCCTAGTTACACTTACTTGTTTCTGAAGACAGTTTGGTGCTACTGTTTACTCTGCAGGAAAAACATGAAAAATGCTTTTAATAAACTTGCAACAGTGTTCTTATTAGCGATAGTTTCTATCTTTGGGTCCTTCTTGTTTGTTTGTTTTAGCTATTTGTGGGAGGAGGGTTGTTTTTGTTTTTTTGAGAAAGAGTCCTACTCTGTCACCCAGGATAGGGTGCAATAGTGTGATCACAGCTCACTGCAGCTTCTGCCTCCTAGGCTCAAGTGATCCTCCTATCGCAGCCTCCCAAGTAATTGGAAACACAGGCACGCACCACCACATCCAGCTAATTTTGTTATGTGTATTTTATAGAGATGGGGTCTCACTATGTTTCCCAGGCTGGTCTCAAACTCGCTGACTCAAGCAATCCCACCACTTCAGCCTCCCAAATGCTGGGATCACAGGCATGAGTTACCACGTCTGACTGGTCCCTCTTCTTTACTAGCTATGAAAAGTCTCAAAAGGCAGAGCCCCAGGAAGAAGGCATAATATACGAGACCAGAGTTCTCAATTGTTAGTTCCAAGGGCTTCACACCAGGAATCTAGGTAAACTCCAGTTTTTCTCAACAGCACAAAGATATGCTTGCTCATGACCAGATATTCCTCTTGCAATTTTGTTCATACCCTCTTGCTATAATGACAGAGTAAAATGAGGACAAGCAGAAGAAGAGACATCTTAGAACAGGAAAATTCACCTTCCTTCTTTGAAGCAATACTTGAACTGACAAAATAAAAATAGAAAGGGAAATCAAGAGTAGGAGAGATTTTACTCCCAATGCTCCAGCCTGCCTCTGGCTGTGAAACCTAGAGATAAGGGCAATGAATACATACAGTCTTCATAACAGTTTTCTCAGGTACGTACTTTGATTTCATTTTGCTGATAAAAAGAAGTCGGAGGCTCAAAGAAGTGAAATGACCCAAGCCTCTGATAAAGTGCCAATGCCAAGATCATGTAACTTAGGTTCTAAACCTTCAATGACACCACCATGCACATGGAGTAGTGGCCTATTTAAGGGAACTTTGGCAAACAAGGCTAAATGAGCTTCCACAGTTATGCTGAAGCAGGGAAAGAACACTTAGACAGTAAATTTGTGTTTCAGAGGCATCATCATCTGAACAAACAAAATTCAAAAATTCAGTTCTCAATTTTTTTATCAGAAAGTAAAATCAAAGGGAATTCTGATTCTGCTTCCTATCATGGAAAAAAATATTTTTAAAAGCAAGAGGGGCAATTCATCAGTTGTTTGAACTAACACATTCAAAGAGAATAAACATCAAATATTAGGTCAGTTACTAACAATCTAATTTTGTATATGCTCAAATGCTTACAAAATATGGAAAGTACATCAGTGAGACAGACGTCTCTAAGATTTCTGCTTAGCTTCTGAGTCAGGTACCACCCATATCCCACAATAGTATGCTTCCTCTGAGCTCCTCTGTCCTATCAGCTTTCACTGTTAATTAACCACCTTGTTCACACGAGATGTGCCCACCTTCCAATAGCACCCATTTCTTGGACCTCAGATTCTGCAGATTGCTAGGTGTGAAAGCTGCTTCTTCTACCCACACTGATTTAACCAAGAAGAGGCCAGAAAGGGACAACAAATTTAAAAGTACACCAAAGCAGGAAATTAACTTATGCAATAAGACCTGCCAATTTTAGAAATGGGTTACAACTGCCATTGTGACCATAATTTCTTAAATGAACAAGTTTCACATTTACTTTATTTGGTAAAACTTCAAGACCGTCTTTGCCTACAAGCATAATTTCCCACTGATATCTGCCAGAAAATCAGTAGTGTTATGGGACAGGTGCAGACATTTGAGAAAGGAATAAATGACAGCATACCTCTGGCCTTCTTAGCAATACATTGCCTTATTTACTTTTTTTCTCATATACACCTAGAAGATTCTGTAATATTCTCAACCCTATGAATGTTCCGCAGTGCCTCTGTCTACCCGGTTACTACTCGTTCTTCTTTCACCTTACAGTATTTCATAGAATTCCTATAAAGAAAATATAGTACTTGGATAATGGGATATGAGAATTATTTTTATATTGAAGAGTTTTTCACTTATTTCAGACTCAGCCTTTGCTCAAATCACATCTTCTTTCTTGGTATGGCTTCAGAGCTAGTCTGAAGTAAACATAAAAACCAGTTCCATAATTTAACGTTTTGGGGGTGGGAGCAGTATGGTTTCCATATGGTTTGTCCCCACAAATTTCATGTTTAAGTCTGATTCCCAGTATGGCAGTGTAAAGAAGTGGCACCTAATGGGATGTGTTTGGGTCATAAGGGCAGACGTCTCATGAATGGCTTTGTGCCCTTCTAGCAGTAATGAATTCCTGCTCTTGCTGTAGGGACTGGTTCTCGAGAGTGGACTGGTTCTCAGAGAAACCGATTAGTTCCCAAAAGACTGGTCTGTTGTAAAATTCAGGATGCCTCTCAGGTTTGGTCCCTCTTCACATATGCCCTCTTACCCCTTGACCTTCTCTGCCATGTTCGGACACAGCATAAAAGCTCTCATCAGAAGCCAAGCCGATGCCATGCTTCCTGGATAGCCTGCAGAACTGTGAGCTAAATACATCACTTTCTTTATAAATTATTCATCTTAAGGTACTCCTTCACAGCAACACAAAACAAACTGAGACAAGGGAAGTAGCATTTCCCAGGATAATCATCTATTACCTTCACCAAACTGTCTCTAGTTAAACTTTGGCTGAAGTTCAAATTCATTTTCAGAACAAAGATTTTCCAAAATGAGGATATTAAAATGAGTATACTGAAGAATCTGAAGGGAAATCTGAAAGGAGTTTCAAAAATATCCTGAACAATGTAAACAATACTAGAAGTATACATTTCCAAGGTAATATCTGCACTTAATCCTCCTGGAGCAATCCCACAAGGTTCCACCTTTAAAGATGGCATTTATGATGCTGAGTTCTCAGTGCTCATCTCTATCTCCAACTCTCCACATTGTTAACTATCTACTGGTCGTTTCTATGCCTCATCAGCATCTCAATTCCAACGTAAATTTTCTACAATGTAAACTTTCATTTTGCCAACCTAGTGGTCACGTTACCCTTCTTAGCTGAAAAATCAGCTTATGATTACATAGCACACAGAAGCAACATGATAAACATTTACAGAAAGAAGAAAAGGGTGGTGAATGAAACCGGTTTACAAACATCATCTCATTCAGAAGAAGGTATAAAGAAACTAAGACTCAGAAAGCTCAAAGCAATCTTGCAGCATTACCCATCAAGTAACGGGTAAAGCCAAACTCTAGTTCAGTCTTGGTCTTTACTTTCCATCTTCTATCTTTTTTTTTTTTTTGTTACCAAAGTTTACTTCTTTAAAACCCAACTCAACATTTCTCCAACCCAAAGTTCTCCCTGATCCCCAGGACTAAACAGTGATTTCTCCTTTCTCTAACCCCAAGATTTTGCCTGCACTAGTTCTGTTGCCGTATCACACCTGGACTTAAATACATCACATCACACTATATACGCAATCTTCTCCCGCCACATCACTGGTTGGTATAACCTGAATTGTGTTTACCATTCCCCAAAGTCATATGTTGAATCCCTAATCCACAATGTGACTGTATCTGGAGACAGTGCTTTTGGCAAGTAGTTGAGGTTAAATGAGGTCATAAAGGTGAGGCCTTAATTTGATAGGATTGGTGGCCTCATAAGAAGCAGAGGGCTCTCTTTCCTTCGCCCTCTCTCCTCCTCCAACCCCCTTTTCCCTATCCCCTATCCCCTCACCACCATGTGAAGACAGAGGGAGAAGGCAGCCATCTGCAAGTCAGGACATGAGTCCTTGCCAGCAACCAAATCTGCTTGCACCTTTGTCTTGAACTTCCTAGCCTCCAGAATAGTAAAAAAAATAAATGTACATTGTTTAAGCCACTCAGTGTATGTTGTGTGGGTCACTCAGTCTATGGGATTTTGTTACGGCAGCCTGAGTAGACTACGACAGATTTTGGTACCAGAATTTCTCAACTCTGGATGTAACAAAGAACCACCTGAGAGGACTGTACGCAATTCTTAGTGCTTGGGCCCCACCCCAGACCAGTTAAATAAAAAATGCTGGGGTAAAAGCCAGGCACTGGTATTTTTTAAGACTCCCCAAACAATAATAATAAGCAGCTAGATGAGAACTACTGTATGTAACAGTTAAATTTAATGAGGTCAGAGACCACATCTAACTCATCTTTGTAATTCCAACTCCTGGCATATGATAAATATGCAATAAAATTGTTTTAACTGTTTAACAATGACAGATATATTTAAAAGAGTTTTAATATTTGATAGTTACAGATCCTCTGTAAACAAATACTTATGCACCTATTATGTACCAATCACCACACCAGAGATTGTGTATACAATAATGAATCAGACAAGCAAGGTTCCTTACTCTGCAGCATAAACATGTGACACTCTATATTCCAATTAATCATGTTTAGGTAATTAACATATCTTTTCATCTGTAAGACTCTCCCAGTAACAGTTTTTATTTTTAGCAAAACACAATGCAGGATAGTAAACACCACATTCTTAACAGTTTTTTCCTTCAATGTTCTTACTTAATGCAAAAATAGAACAGGTGATTGTGGGGAAGAATATTAATTTTTGTATCAATAGTCTTACTTGGGTACAATTTTGTTTGCTCCACTTATATCAAGTACAAGGTAATACTTCTCAAATTTCTGACATTCACAGATGTCCACAGATGTCAAAAACGCAGAATTTTACACATATGCGATTAACAACAACAACAAAAAAGATACTAATCCAGGCAACAACACATAAACTTGAATTTATTTCTGTGCTGAGTCAAGAACCCCTTAAGACCCTTAAGACAAGCATTAATATTTAAAATCATAAAAGTTTAAGGCTTGAAGCAACCTTAGCAATTATCTGATGTATCTCTCTATCTCTCATCCTCAAACCTCATATTATGTCATTAAAGATAAGTTAATGACAAAGTCTGAAAAAAGA